TTTTTTTTTTTTTTTTCCCCCTCCCAGCTTCTCACAATCTCCAGCGTTGGAGCTGGACAAGTTCCTGGAGGATGTAAGGTAAGAGGGTTTTTTTAAAAGGGCAACTTTAACTGTGTGTGAGACTAGAAAAACTTCAGAGAGGTGTAACCTCAGATGCTGCTCCTTTCTTGTAGGAATGGTATCTACCCACTCACAGCTTTTGGGATGCCGCGACCTCAGCAGCCCCAGCAGGTAGTGGTGAAATCTCCCATTGCTCCACCATCGGTGAAAACCCCAACTCCAGAGCCTGCTGAGGTGGAGACCCGCAAGGTGAGAGATGGGAGTGCATTCCTCCCCGGGCCGCTGCGCTGTGCAGCAGCCGCCACTCACCGGGTGTCTCTGCTTCTGTTTCAGGTGGTGCTGATGCAGTGCAACATTGAGTCGGTGGAGGAGGGAGTGAAGCACCATGTACGTTGCCGTCTGGCTGAGCATGCTGTGTGGGGCTGGGCCGGGGTATGCTGTGCAGAGCGCGTGGCTCCAGCACGCTGAGGTGCTGCTGGTGCCGGGTGTGACCCTCTGCTGCTGCAGCCACCACCTTTGAGGCCCAAGGCCAGATTCAGGCCCGTGCTGTGGCTGACCTAGCACGTAGCGGGTGCTTTCTGCCCACCCCCAGACTCAGGCTGCCTCTGCAGGACAGCGCTGCTGGCTGTGGTTTGGGATGGAACTGGATGTGGCTGTTCTGTTGGACTCTGGTGGGGCTCTGGGGAGTGTGGGGTTCCTGTCCTAATGGGGATTTCTGGGGATGCTCCGGATTGTCCTTGGCAATCATGCAGTCCCTCACGAGAACTTCTCTACCCTGCAGTTAACACTGCTGCTGAAACTGGAAGACAAGTTGAATCGACACTTGAGCTGTGACCTGCAGCCCAGTAAGTATCGCTCCTGCCGTCCTCTGGTGCACTGGGGCCAGCAGTGCGCTCAGACCCCGGACTCACACCCGTCCCTGTGTTGCAGATGACAACATCCAGGAGCTGGCAGCTGAACTGGTCCAGCTTGGCTTCATTAGTGAGGTAGGCAGTCCTGGGGCTCAGGCAGGGATATAGGTCTGCATTCCTTTCTCTAACGGTTTATGCCAGACCACTCCTTTTCTAGCTGGGAAGGTAGGAGAAATGTGACGTGTCCTTGCCCACATGCCCCAGCAGGCTTCAGGCGGACTCTTAGCTGTGCACCCGCTGGTACTACCCCTCACCATGGCTTGTTCTTCCCAGGCGGACCAGAGCAGACTTACCTGTTTACTTGAAGAGGCGTTCAGCAAGTTCTACTACACCCGGAACGGAGCCCTGACGGCAGTGACTGTGTCATCTTAGCACCCCTCGGCTCCCAGGTGGCCAGTGCGGCTTTGTTGCCTGTGACCCCTTCTGTGTCTGTCCATCACTGTAGGGCATCAGCAAGACCCCAGCTGCAGTGCTTGGAAGCTCATCCTGCATGTGCCGTGGTGGGCTCAGCGACAATCCTCCCTGCCCGCCTATTAAAGGGGACTTTGCGCATCAGTATTATTTCCAGCCCTGTTTTTGTTGGGATTTTGCCAGGTGGTGCCGGGGAGCCAGGTCCTGGCTTGGGGTGTTCTGTCACCCCATTCATGTGCATGGAGTTTGTTCTGTTTGAATTGTACAAAGTGTCTTTTGCACAGCGCAGATTTTTTTTTTGTTTTGTTTTCTTTTTTTTTTTTCTTTTTTTTTTTAATTTAAAGGTAAGCAGGGGGGAGCCCCTCCTCCCCGCGCCCGCTCTGCGCCCCACTCCGCACCTCCCCC